GGTATAGACTAAAAAAAAAAAAAAAAGAGCTTTAAAAGGGGCGGGTGGGGGAAGAACAATAGAAGAGAATTAGAAAACAGGACTTCAACACTGAGCTGGAAACCAGAAACAATTAGTTTCACTGAGATTTTTGCCACAGCTCTTTCATCCTGGCTGTGATGCCTAAGATTTTTTTGTCTGCCTAGATTGACCCACCATTTCAGTTACATTTCACATTTCAGAGGGTAGGACTTCCAGAATATTCTATGGATGAATGAGTGGCGTTTCTCTCGAATGCATTTTACTGTCCTCCTTACATCACAGATGTATCCCCTCTTCCTGCCTCTGGTGGATCGGGTCCTAGACCTGGTGAAAGGTCCCTGCTGTACAATTTTACATGCATGGGTCAAACTGGCAAGTCAATGCTTGATGAATTGGTTTTCAGTTCACTTCCCTAACAATGGTATAAGCTCTAACCCCTATAATAAATCCCTCAGTCCATTTCACTTGTAGTTGTTTTCTTTCCCTCATCAAACCCTAACTGATCAACAATAGAGTTTTATGCAGAAGGAGGTATGAACTGAATTATCAGGCAGCCCTTTGGAGAATGGACAGAAGGAGGTTCCATGGGTGTTGCTAGAATTTGGGGGGAAAATCAGGTGGTGGCTTATTTAGAGATTACACCAGTGGAGATGGTGAGGAAGCAGCAGTGGTAAGAGGTACAGCAGATGGAAGTTTCTAACCAGACTCACTGGTGCTATCAAAGCTCCCCCAAATAAATGGACTCCTGAGAAAAAAGTGCTGGCTAGTGCAAATGTGTGAGCACTCCTATTTTTTTATGGGTTGCATCACACCACAGAGTGGCGTTCCTCTCTGAACACTGCCCTTACAGCTGACTTTGATTTGTGACCAAAACATTTTAAAAGCCACATACTATTTTTTAAAGCTCGTTTGAATACCTCTGCCATATGCAGGCTCAAGCCTATGACATGTCTTCTCTCAAACAGCATGGGTCTGGTGGCTGAACAGCGGTGACAACAAGGATTCCCTCCTTGCACACATCACATGTCCACTTGCTCAGATATGTATGGTTAAATGGCCCTAATGCATGGAGATTTATAACTTCTCATATTAAACATTGTCAAAAATATCAATAACCATGTTCTGGATAAAGAGAAAGAAACCCAACCACTTCAGTACACTGAACAATAACGGGACCCAGCAAGTTCTTCCAACTATGACATAAATAAAACAAAACCACTCAGAGATGTAAAGGAGCAGCTTGTATCTTGTATTCAAAGGAAAATGGTAGGTTTCATTCCAAAGCTTTTTCTTTTTTTTTCCTATATGACTAAAGAAGTAGGAGATACAACCTGGGGA